TCGGCACTTTGCTCCGTTCATCATTTCGGTTTTTTTTTTAATGCTTTGCTTTACGTAAACCCCCCACCCCCTCTCCCCCCTTTTTAAATGAAAGATTTAACAAAATATTTCTCGTACTGCTCTCCTTACCCCTTTCCATCTCTCTCTCTCTACCCCCCCCTCTCTGCCCCCCCCCTTCTCTCTCTCTACCCCCTCTCTTCTCCAACTCCATGTCGCTCTCTCGCTCGCTCTCACTCTCTCTCTTTTTCTATAACTACGACAAGTGCTGCATCTGCACGCAGCCCTTCTCACAGTCAAACGGCCTCCGACGGGTAGCTCAGATCTCTCTCTCTCTCCCCCGTGGCTGCGTGGATTCTTCTCCGGGCCCTCCGGTTTTTCCTCTCTCCACATTGATTGGGCGGCAGGAAATCTCCACGCGACGATAAGCCACTTCGTAACGAGAGGCTTTACGTTTTCTGCGCTGAGATGTTAAAACAACCAAACAGAATTTTTCCTTCAAGGATTCATGCCCGCAATGACCACGCACATTCACCTGTGGTTCAACATGAAAATAACACGTGCTCTGATATTATGTGCATTGTCTTGGAAACTGATTGGTCCACACAAGAGACGGCTTTTCTTTCTTGAAAAAGGAGTCCGTTTGGTGTTTGAACATCTTAACCCGGCTGTTTTATTGCCGGAAAGGGTAAGTAAAATGGGGATAAAGGCCCCCCCTATTATAAGCCACTTCGTTGAGAAAATCATTTGTGGTGGTCCAGGTCGCTTCTGAAAAAAGAGCTACACAACTCACTGGGGCCTTACACCTTGTGAGATGAACATGTTTAGTTCAGAATGTGTGTGTGTGTGTGCAGACTGAACTTCTTTCGCACCGTACATAGCCAACCGTGCTAATCGAAGGTGCCGGGGGAAGGACGACAAACTGAACACGGGAAAAAAAAAAGCAGTTAGAAAGAAATGAGCTTTCAATTTTTAGTTGATTTCAAAGTGCGTAGCTCCAGTGTGTTCCTAATGTATCTGTGGCGAGATGTTAGCTCCCTCGCCTGGCATACAGGAGGTCGTGGCTGCGCTGGCTGGGTCACGTCGCCCGCATGCCCAGCCACCGCATGCCGAAACAGCTTTTGTTCGGCCGGATCGAGGGGGCTAAACGGGCGTGGCACGGGCTAGAGAAGAGATGGAGTGATGTGGTACAGGAGGACGTGGAGCTGAGTGGACTTGCCGATGACCGGTACCAGCGGTGGTCAAGATCGGCCTCTGTGGCGGAAGAGGCTCGTGAAGGACGCTGCTACTGGGCAGTTGGAGGCAGTTGCCCTCCAACAACAACGGAGGGTGGAGGAGCGACGCTCACAACAATGAGTGGAGCGCCGGGTGGCTAAAGTACAGCAGGTTGGCACAGTAGGGGGCACAGGTGGTGCATCAGCCAGTCATCTCAGTCATCTTAGTCAGTCGACCCGTGGCACTTGGGTATGCCCCATGACCTCCTGACAGCGGGCGCTCGACACTTCACGTGGCCTCAAGGTGCATATGGCCTGGCACAAGCATCGTGGTGACGTCACCGCCACTTAGTGGCGAATGGCTGTTGTTGTTGTGTGTGTGAGAGTGCGTGTGAGTGCGTGTGTGTGTGTGAGAGTGCGTGTGTGTGAGTGAGAGTGCGTGTGTGTGAGAGTGTGTGAGAGTGCGTGTGTGTGAGAGTGCGCGTGTGTGAGTGAGAGTGTGTGAGAGTGTGTGTGTGTGAGAGTGTGTGTGAGAGTGTGTGAGAGTGCGCGTGTGTGAGAGTGTGTGTGTGTGAGAGTGTGTGTGAGAGTGCGTGCGTGCGTGTACGTACGTGTGCGTGGCTCATCGTCACCATCACGTGGACATTTACAAGCAGACATCTACTCTAAACGCGCGATGTCGATTATTAATGTACAGGGGAGACAAATCCATGTGACCACAGGCAGAGAGATACTCAAACTCAAAATATACAGCAGGCATAGTCAGGATCGGGATCGAACCCACGACCTCCTGTATACCAGGCGAGATAGTCAACATCTCCAAGCCACCGTGATAATGATGAGAGAAAGAAACGCAGACTCCATACATACAGCAGGCGTTGTTAGGGTCGGGATCGAACCCACGACCTCCTGCGTACCAGGCGAGGTAGTCAACATCTCGTAGCCACCGTGATGATGGTGATGAGAGAGACAGAGACACGCCGCAAACTCCAAATATACAGCAGGCGTTGTTAGGGTCGGGATCGAACCCACGACCTCCTGCGTACCAGGCAAGGTAGTCAACATCTCGTAGCCACCGTGATGATGGTGATGAGAGAGAGAGACACGCAAACTCCAAATATACAGCAGGCGTTGTTAGGGTCGGGATCGAACCCACGACCTCCTGCGTACCAGGCGAGGTAGTCAACATCTCGTAGCCACCGTGATCATGGTGATGAGAGAGAGAGACACACAAACTCCAAATATACAGCAGGCGTTGTTAGGGTCGGGATCGAACCCACGACCTCCTGCGTACCAGGCGAGGTAGTCAACATCTCGTAGCCACCGTGATCATGGTGATGAGAGAGAGAGACACACAAACTCCAAATATACAGCAGGCGTTGTTAGGGTCGGGATCGAACCCACGACCTCCAGCGTACCAGGCGAGGTAGTCAACATCTCCTAGCCACCGTGATGATGGTGATGAGAGAGAGAGACACGCAAACTCCAAATATACAGCAGGCGTTGTTAGGGTCGGGATCGAACCCACGACCTCCTGCGTACCAGAAGAGGTAGTTAACATCTCCTAGCCACCGTGATGATGGTGATGAGAGAGAGAGACACGCCGCAAACTCCAAATATACAGCAGGCGTTGTTAGGGTCGGGATCGAACCCACGACCTCCTGCGTACCGGCGAGGTAGTCAACATCTCCTAGCCACCACGGGTTCGGGCTTTGACAGAGCCAGTGGACCGAATATGGACGGCAATGGAGCGGGGAGCAGGGGGAGGTTGAGAAAGTGAAAAAATATTAAAAAAAATCATCGCCCTAAATGACTCAGACGCGCCGTCTCTTTCCAGCGTTGGGTGTGACCTCACTTGTCTGCGACTCTTGACTTACGTGCGTCGTGATGGACGGGGTTTTTTGTTGTTGTTGTTGTTGCTGCTCGGGACAGGAAACAGATCGCGCGAAGACGTGCAACCAATATTTCATGTTCTCCCAACCCATTGAAATGTAAGGGTCGACAACAACCACTCTTAACTGATAGTCCACCACACACCACCACCACCACCACCCACCACCACTCCAACCACGACCGCCACCACCACCACACACCACCACACACCACCACTCCAACAGCGACCGCCACCACCACCACCACCACCACCCACCACCACTCCCACCCACCACCACTCCAACCACGACCACCACCACCACCACACACCACCACTCCCACCCACCACCACTCCAACCACGACCGCCACCACCACCACTCCCACCCACCACCACTCCAACCACCACCACCACCACTCCCACCCACCACCACTCCAACTACGACCGCCACCACCACCACTCCCAAACACCACCACTCCAACCACGACCGCCACCACCACCCACCACCACCACCACCACCACCCACCACCACCACCCACTGCCACCACTACTCCCACTACCGCCACCACCCACTAGCACTCCAACCATGACCGCCACCACCACCTTCACCACCACCGGCACCACCCACTAGCACTCCAACCATGACCGCCACCACCACTCCCACCACCACCTTCACCACCACCTTCACCACCACCGCCACCACCACCGGCACCACCCACTAGCACTCCAAACCATGACCGCCACCACCGCCACCACCACCACCACTCCAACCACCGCCCCAGTTAATTACCTTATCCATCAACAGCGAAAAAGCTGAACTGAACTGAATAGCACAAAGGTCAAGAGAATAATCATAGCCATAGCGAGCCTAATGGAGGCTATTAAGGGTCCATTACAGGCGCGCGATGGTTCAATGGGAAATACCAAAGGCACCAATGATTAATCCGTTTCATCCGCAGGCCGGCCTCTTGATTTGAACAACGGCGACACACCGCCACCACCACCACCACCACCAACGACAACGACAACGACAACCGGGGTATGAGGCATTCTCGCGCGGTTGCGGAAAAGACATCCGCTGATGTCTACAAGTAAAATTAAGAAAACACTCGATGTCACTATTATCACGAGCACGGCAGCTGTGGTCTATTGTAAGAGCCCGGCGGTCCGTCCGTCCGTCAAATTAACTAAGAGAGCCTTTCGGGAAGGCCTGAATTTAAAAAGAAAAGTTATAGAAAGTGGACGCCAACCCCAACCCCCATGGACGTGTGGGTAAAAAGTTGATCCGACAAGTTTCCACAGAGTTATCAATCACCGCCCCCACAAAAAAAAGTTTACATTTGTCTATGATGACGAAGATTTCAACTTTTGATGACACGTCAAGACCAGAGCTGCGGTGGTCGCGCGCTCTCGTAGAGACAGAGAGGACGACCACCCACCCACCCAACCACCCACCCACCCACCAAACCAACCACCCACCCAACCAACCAACTACCCACCGAATCAACCACCCACCCAACACAAAACCACCCACACACCCAACCACCCACCCACCAAACCACCCACCCATGCACACCACCCACCCATCCACCCAACCACCCACCCAACCAACCACCCACCCACCCAACCACCCACCCACCCACCCAACCAACCACCCACCCAACCAACCACCCACCCACCCAGCCAACCAACCAACTACCCACCCAACACAAAACCACCCACCCACCCAATCAACCATCCACCCACCAAACCACCCACCCATCCACCCACACACCCAACCACCCACCCAACCACCCACCAAACCAACCACCCACCCACACAAACACCCACCCACCCAACCAACTACCCACCCGCCCAACCATCCACCCAACCATCCACCCATCCACCCACCCACCCAACCACACCACCCACCACCCACCTGGAGCGACGCCCACCAGGCAGCCCAGGGCCTGCGTCCGTGCCTCCGCCTTCTCGCGTGCCGTCCGCGCCGCCTTGGGCAGATCGCCGGTGCCGCCGGTGCCGCCGGCGCCGCCGGCGCCGCCGGTGCCGCCGGTGCCGCCGGCGCCGCCGGTGGGCGGGGGCCGGCCCTCGGCACCGGGGACGCCGGGGGGCCTGGCGCCCCGGGTGGGCCGCACGACCCCCGCCGGGCCACAGGGCCTCCTGCAGGGCCCGGAGGTAGAGCACCCACTGGGAGCGGCAGGTGAGGCGATCCACCACGCCCTCCACCCACCTGCGGTGGGGGGGGTGGGTGGGTGGGTGGGGGTGGGTGGGGTGTAGAGACAATGTATGATTAATAATAATAATTAAACTGTTTAACACGTGGCAGGCTGTCGCGACCATTATCATCCATTAATAGAGGTTGCTTAGGGGTTAGGTCGCGTTAATATGTAAATGTTGTGTCGTGAAACCCGCCACCACCCGACAAGCAACGTGTGAAATTGTCAATGTTATTCTAGTTTAATAATGTAAAAAAAGAGGGATGCTGCCCTGGCTTATATTGATGATGATTAAAAAGTGCAGTGCCACTTCGATACCAGCCCCACAGTGTTCACTCGCTCTCAGAGAGGGAGAGAGGACAACCACCCACCCAACCACCCACCCACCCAACCACCCACCCACCCAACCACCCACCCAACCACCCACCCAACCACCAAACCACCCAACCACCCAAGCACCCACCCAACCACCCACCCAACCACCCAACCACCCAAACACCCACCCAACCACCAAACCAACCACCCACCCAACCACCCACCAAACCAACCACCCACCCAACCACCCAACCACCCACCCACATAACCACCCAACCACCCATCCAATCGCCCAACCACCCAACCACCCACCCACCCACCCAACCACCCACCCACCCAACCACCCACCCACCCACCCAACCAACCAACCACCCACCCATCCAACCACCCACCCATCCAACCACCCACCCACCCAACCACGAAACCAACCACCCAACCAACCACCCAACCACCCACCCAACCACGAAACCAACCACCCACCAAACCTCCCAACCACCCACCCACCCAACCACCCACCCACCCAACCACCCACCCACCCAACCACTCAACCACCCAACCACCCACCCACCCAACCACCCACCCAACCACCCACCCACCCACCCAACCACCCAACCACCCACCCAACCACCCACCCAACCACCCACCAAACCTCCCAACCACCCACCCACCCAACCACCCACCCAACCACCCACCCACCCAACCACCCACCCAACCACTCAATCACCCAACCACCCACCCAACCACCCACCCAACCACCCACCCAACCACGAAACCAACCACCCACCAAACCTCCCAACCACCCAACCACCCACCCAACCACCCACCCACCCAACCACCCACCCACCCACCCAACCACCCACCCAACCACCCACCCACCCAACCACCCACCAAACCTCCCAACCACCCACCCACCCAACCACCCACCCAACCACTCAACCACCCAACCACCCACCCACCCAACCACCCACCCAACCATCCACCAAACCTCCCAACCACCCACCCACCCAACCACCCACCCAACCACCCACCCAACCACCCACCACCACCACCCCCATTGCAAACGTTGGCGTGGGTTTTACTCTCCAACGCACAGCCGGCGTGTGCTCAACTAGCGACGAATTTTGGGCCACGTTTTGCTCACGTGACAAAAAACCCCCCTTCGCCGATTGGCCGTGTCGGGTGGTGTTGGCGGCTTTAACGGCACACGTTGCGTGTCGCCGTGGAACGGGTCACTGCGTGGCGTAGCCACGGTGTGCTGCCAGCAACGGGGATCCGCGGTTCCAGCAGCCCCGTCTGTCGGCAGGTCACGTGACAAAGCCAGGGAGATGGGATGAGAGCGGAGAAGGGTGATAGAGGGAACCCGCTGGTCGGTTCTAGAAGCGTCGGGGTGGGAGCGAGGCCACGCCGGGAGAATAAAAGGGGACTCCGGGCGAAGGCTCGGGGCCGTCGCTCGGATTGGGATTCCCCTCCTCGTTCCGCCCGAGTCTTCGTCTGCGTCTTCACCTGCGCCGGCGTCTTCAGCCAGGCAGTCTGCCGGCCGTCCCGACTGAGAGTTGTCGCCGTCGCTTGTAACCTGTGAAGGCTTGCTCATTGATAGAGTTGTCCTCCTACTCCTCGTGTCTCCGAGCGCGTCGCTGCACGTTCAAGTTCACGCGATGGAGCCTCATGCTGCTGCTGCTGCTGCCGAATGTGTTGAGTGGCAACAATTAAAAAGCGTAAAGAGCTCCACCGAGCAACCTCTCAGCGCTGCTGTGCCTGGAGAGGCGGGGAATCGTTTCACGTCAACCAAGGAAAGAAGAGGGGGGATGGGGTGAGGGAGTGTGGGGGGGAGAGGGAGGGGAGGGGAGGGGAGGGAGGGAGCGAGGGAGGGAGGGGAGGGAGGGAGTGTGGGGGTAGAGGGTGGGGGGGGAGGGAGGGGAGGGAGGGAGGGAGGGAGGGGAGGAAGGGAGGGAGCGAGCGAGGGAGTGGAGGGAGGGAGGGGAGGGAGGGAGGATGGGGGGGAGGGAGGGGAGGGAGGGAGGGAGTGTGGGGGTAGAGGGTGGGGGGGAGGGAGGGGGAGGGAGGGAGGGAGGGGAGGGAGGGGAGGGAGGGAGCAAGCGAGGGAGGGAGGGAGTGAGAGAGTTGGAGTGAGGGAGCGAGTGAGGGAGCGAGTGGGAGCGAGCGAGGGAGTGAGGGAGGGAGGGAGGGAGGGAGCGAAGGAGGGAGGGAGGGAGCGAGGGAGGGAGCGAGGGAGCGAGGGAGGGAGCGAAGGAGTGAGGGAGGGAGCGAGGGAAGGAGGGAGGGAGGGAGGGAGTGAGGGAGGGAGGGAGGGAGCGAGGGAGTGAGGGAGGGACACGTTCTTCAGCGGACACAGTGAAGAAGTTGTCAAGCGTCTCCAAAGTCCTGACCCTCGAAGGGGGCAAAGCGAGTTGGGGTGTTGAGGTGCCGCCAATTGCACGAGAACTGGAGTGTCACCCCCCCCGTCCCCCCAAGTGTGAAGCCTGGAGACCGTGGTGACATTGAGCACTGCACAATGTTATCATCTAAATGATCTTGATGGAATATACAGGTGTGGCTGAACAACAACAACAACAACAGTGAGTTCAAGAGGTGCCGAGTCGCATTTTTTTTTTTTGCGTGAGACCACGATGGGAGTTCCATTCGCACGCAGTGAGTAAGTGAATGAGTGAGTGAGGTGGGTGGGTGAGTGAATGAGTGAGGTGGGTGGGTGAGTGAATGATTGAGTGAGGTGGGTGGGTGGGTCAGTGAATGAGTGAGGTGGGTGGGTAAGAGAGTGAGATGAGTGGGTGGGTGGGTGAGTGAGTGAGGTGGGTGGGTGGGTCAGTGAATGAGTGAGTTAGGTGGGTGGGTGGGTCAGTGAATGAGCGAGTGAGGTGGGTGGGTGGGTCAGTGAATGAGTGAGTGAGGTGGGTGGGTGAGAGAGTGAGATGAGTGGGTGGGTGGGTGGGTCAGTGAATGAGTGAGTGAGGTGGGTGGGTGGGTCAGTGAATGAGTGAGTTAGGTGGGTGGGTGGGTGAGTGAGAGAGTGAGGTGGGTGGGTGGGTCAGTGAATGAGTGAGTGAGGTGGGTGGGTCAGTGAATGAGTGAGTTAGGTGGGTGGGTGAGTGAGAGAGTGAGATGAGTGGGTGGGTGAGTGAATGAGTGAGTGAGGTGGGTGGGTGGGTCAGTGAATGAGTGAGTGAGGTGGGTGGGTGAGTGAATGAGGTGGGTGGGTGAGTGAATGAGTGAATGAGGTGGGTGGGTGGGTGAGTGAATGAGGTGGGTGGGTGAGTGAATGAGGTGGGTGGGTGGGTCAGTGAATGAGAGTGAGGTGGGTGGGTGGGTGGGTGAGTGAATGAGTGAGGTGGGTGGGTGGGTTCCGTGTTGATTTTGGCGTGACGAAAGCATGAGACCTCAGGAAGATGCCGGGATGGGTGTGTCTCATTTTCAAGAGCGGATGGATGGGATGAGTGAGCGAGTGAGTGAATGATCGAATGCGTGAGATGGTGTGTTTGGTGAGTGTGTAATTGATCGAGTGAGATGATGAGCGAGTCAGTTTCGAGGTGTTGTTGGTGTGGACCAAGTGTGAGACTGACACTATAAACTACATGTTTCATTTGACCAGGTAAGGCACACTGAGCTACAGAGCTTTGTCAGATGCGACCTGGCCACCTCGCCGAAGTGGTGTCATCATCACGTGGAATTTTAAAGCAGCCAAATACTCGAAAGGGGATGTTTCTAAACGTGGCGGGAAAAAACGTGGGAACCGGCAGAGAATATCCACGCTACCACGCGGAGAGGGAGACACGCAAACTCTAAATATACAGCAGCAGGCATCGTCAGGGTCGGAATCGAACCCACGACATCCTGTACACCAGGCGAGGCAGTTAACATCTCCTAGTTACCGTGATGATGATAATGAGAGAGAGAGACACGCAAACTCCACATGTACAGCAGCAGGCATTGTCAGGGTCGGGATCGAACCCACGACTTCCTGTACACCAGGCGAGGTAGTTAACATCTCCTAGCCACCGTGATGATGATGATGAGAGAGAGATACACGCAAACTCCACATGTACAGCAGCAGGCATTGTCAGGGTCGGGATCGAACCCACGACTTCCTGTACACCAGGCGAGGCAGTTAACATCTCCTAGCCACCGTGATGATGATGAGAGAGAGACACGCAAACTCTAAATATACAGCAGCAGGCATTGTCAGGGTCGGGATCGAACCCACGACTTCCTGTACACAAGGCGAGGTAGTTAACATCTCCTAGCCACCGTGGCGCTCTTTTCGCAAGAGTGACCCCGGGAACACATTTCTACCGCCAGTGGAGAGGGGGGAGTGACGATTAGAGAAAAAGCAAGAGAGATTAACACCACTATATATACACTACACTATACACTACTATATATAAACTACACTATACACTACTATATATACACTACACTATACACTAAAATATATACACTACACTATACACTACTATATATACACTACACTTTACACTGCTATATACACTACACTATACACTACTATATATACACTACACTATACACTACTATATATACACTACACTATACACTACTATATATACACACTACACTATACACAACACTATACACTACAATATACACTACTATATATACACTACACTATACACTACTATATATACACTACTATATATACACTACACTATACACTACTATATATATACAC